TATATATTAATCAATAAAAAATCAAAGCAAATACTCAATAACACGTCCAGATAAGCTATACATAAATAACAGGTAATAAGACATAAATTATATCCATTCATTTCCAGTTAATTCTGAATTAGTTTTTTCATATTTAAATTTAACGCATCTGAAAACAATTATACTAATTTAATTTGGTAACCTAAATAAAAACGCAAATGCTATAAAATAACAACTGAAATCATTACCTTCATCAGTTCCCAATCTTTAGTGAATTCAGAATCCCTTGAAGGGGGCAGAGGGTTCAAGAAATATCTAAAAGGAGCTCTAACTCTGACGTTGTATTTCTTGCAGAAAGGAACCCAAATCTTGGCGAACTTAGAAGCTTCCTTGAGAGAGAAGTAAGTGAGAGGTGAGCATCCATCGTCTGAAACATAACATGCTAGTTTATTCGCCGGATAATTCACAGCTAGCAGAGAAAGCACGGTGTTCACCACAAGAATCGGCGGCTCTTTGACGGGATCCGCCGTGGTGACAAACATATCTACTGATGGAAAGTCATGAACTCTGAAATGATAATTACAAGGCAAATTCATAATGTTTTGGAATGTTAAGTTCACATCCGAAAAGAGTGTGGTGTTGGTGTACCAAGCTAGAACTATACAAAAACTAATTTTTTAAAAAATCTTAGTTTTTAATGTATATGATTGTATATAACTGTGTAAAAACGGTACCTTTCGTCAAGTCTATCTAGATGAGGTTTATATTCAGCAGGACTCCATTTTATGCACGTAATAAGTAGCCATATGAATAAGAAACAAGATTCACAGAGTATAGCCACAACCCAAACGGTGTCGTTTTCGTTCATACGTTGATACCGGTACAAGAGCAGAGAAAAGAGAAGGCCGAGAATTGTGAGATCCACAGCTCTTAGAAAATAGCTTTTGTGTGAGATCCTTTCGCAAAGAGGAGAAAGTGAAGAGCTTGAATCCGCCATGTTAGGAGCCTTCTTGAGTTTTTGTGTTTTTGTTTCTGTATATGTTCTGAAAGGTTTAAGTTCGTCACGTATATATAATTCTACTAGTCCTGTCAAAGTATTTTTTTTTGGTAAAATGAAAGTATTATATTTCATAAACATGATATATCTTATATATTAAAACAGAAGTCATGACTTGACTTCATGTGTGATTTTTAAAAAAATGGACTATTACTAAAAAGTTATGTTACATTAACTCTCTAATAATCTTATCATTATTATATCTTATAAAAAATCATATCTATAATAAAAAAGATACGCTTAACGATTTGGTTTTGGTAAATTACCTCACACCTTCCAACTTAGTCACACAAAATATGTCAATAGATATAAGTTTAGAAATCTTCTATTATTTATAAGGAAATATGTCAATAATAGTTAAATGCATCCACAATATATTAACAAAAATCACAGATTAGTAATATGAAATATTTGTATACCCTAACAAAATTTACACGCTATATATATTAGATAAATTTATTTCGATGTAAATTTTTAAAATTATATTTTTTTTTTTAAAAAAAAGAAATTGTTTAAAAAAATTCCTTTTTAATAAAATTCTTTATAATATTAATTTATGAAGCTATAAGTTTAGTTTATAGCAAAAATTTCTTCGAAGTTTATATTATCTTTGCAAATTAAAGTATACTAATATTTAATCAAGCTGTATTTATATTACTTTATCTAAAAATGAAATACTAATCTAACAAACAATAAAATATAGAAGAAGAAACAAACACATGTTTTAAAAACATGTATAATATATAAATTTAAAACAATCTATTTGATTAAAACACTTATTATATAATTTTATTATGTTTGAAAAACATTTACTATACATATCGTAAATATGTAATTACTATAATATACATCAATTTACAAGTGAATAATTTTTTTATATAACTAACTATAAACGAAAACAAATACCCGCGCGGTTGCGCGGGTCAAAATCTAGTTAACATTAAAAAAAGTCAGGCTATGTGATATGATTTTTTACCTATGAGAATGTGGTATAAGGAACATGAATGTATATTATTAGTACTATAATATATAGCCAAATACGTTAAGTCTTTAATTTATCTTCATGTTCAAGGCGAAATTGCCACTAATTAATTAGAACTAGATTTTGACCCGTGCTTAAAAGCGCGGAAATTTTTTATGATTAAAAATTTATATAGTTTGGTTTTGTCTTAATTTTAAAGAATATAAAATCAGCTCACCAAAATTTGTGGTGATGATTGTTTTTCATTGGTTTTAAGTTTCACTTATTATTTTTTAGATTTTGGTTTTTGGTTTTTAGTTTTTAAGTTTCTACTTTTCATTTTCAGTTTTTGGTTTGGATTTTTAATTTTTAAACCCGCTGAGTTAGTTTGAACAGATATTACCAACAAAGAAATCTCAAATAATCAAACATCTAATTTAAAACTGAAAAGATGAAAACAAATTTAAAAAAAAAATTGAAATAGTTTATTTTATAAATAAACAAAGCAAAAAAATATAATATGTGTTTTCAGCTTTTGGTTTTGGATTTTAGTTTTTAGATTTGGTTTTTGGTTTTGCTTTACATTTTTTTTAATCAGTAAATTATTTAAGAAAAATAAAACAATAAATTATTTAAAAGTTAAAATTAAAATTTATCAAAACAAAGTGATTGTTATAAAATAAAAATATATATTAACATGTTTTAAAGTACATGATTTAAATAAATGATTAATAATAGATAATCTTGTTTTGTTAAAAATATTAAATACCTTTTGGGTCTGAAAATAATAATTGATTTTTGATCTCTTAAGGTGAAAAGTTTATTCAATGTTTTTTGGAGTTTTTTCTTAATACTAAGCCTAAAAACCAAATTATATAATTAGTGCAAAAAATAAAAGTAAGCCCAAGACTATATTCCATAAATAACCAATGTTTTAATTTAAATATAATTAGTAGATTTCCATATTCCATATTTTGATGATATATATTATTTTAGAACATTCCATATTTGTAGGAAAAATATATGTTTTTGGTATACACATAGATATATGTCGTATTTTGAAGGTAGTTTACATTAAAGTCGTCTTTTTACATTAATTGTGTTGGTTTAATTTAAGTAACTAGGTGATTTTCCCGTGCTCATGCACGGGTATAAATATTCATAAAAGTAAGATTTTATACTAATTGATTGATATTTAATTTTAGTTTTGAATAAATTTGATGACTTTGGATATATTATTGTCGGTTTAATTATCTTTTGGATCAATAGTCGGTTTGGTTATCAATTTGATATATTGGATAATATCTGTTTTTCGAGTTCAGCTATAATATTTTTTATTCTAAATATAATAAAACTTAGAATAATTTTCTTATTTTCATTTCGGTTGGTTATTGTATTAGATATGTAAATATATTATAGTTAAATTATGTATAACTTAATATATATTGTGCTTAAAATGAAATAAATAATAAACTAAAGTGTTTGATTCAAAATTACATAAATGAATATAATGATAATATTTTGAAGTCTCATGCATATATATAAATTCTACAAAAGAATTAAATTGTAATTGGTTAATATTTTTTTTTCTTTTTAATATGCTTTGGGTCAACCTCTAATTTATATGTATAAAATTAAATAAATTATTATTATTATTATTATTATTATTATTATTATCACTTTTATTATTATTATAACATTATATGTTCTTATTCTAGTTAGATGTTTAATTTTGGATATAAATTAGATTAGTCGAGTCATTCATTTTGGAGTATATTGAGTTAAATATATTTTTAAATTAAAATTGAAGTATAATTCCTTTTTGTTTTTGTTATGTCAAATCAAATTAGTTTTATTTATCGCTTAAATATACATGTGATTTCATAATATTTATTTACTATTTATTTTAGTTAAGTCAAATCAAATTAGTTTATTTACCGCTTAAATATACATGTATTTTCATAATATTTATCAAATCATATGTTGATTTCTAAAGAATATTAGAAAATAAAGTGTAACTGGTAAATTTTTGAATGTTCATGAACATATATATTTTTATTATTTTGAAAATATATTTTATGTTATTTAAAAAAATATATTAATGAAGGTATTACTATTTTGTGAACTTTCCTTTTTAATAAAGTCATATTACATACATATATTTTCGTTTTTCAATTTGTCTTAAAATTTTAGAAATATTTCCTTTTTATTATATATGTTATTTGGAAAAAGGTAAAAAAGAAACTAAATAAAAAAAATTAATAATAATCTTAAAATCAAATAATTCATTAAGGGTATCTATGTAATCAACCATCACGAGAGTTAACGTGAGCGCGACACGTAGGAAACTGACTTCTCAAATAATATTATAGAGATACGGTTCAATCAATTATATAACTTATATTATTTGTAACATTCTAGAAAGAGTCCAAATTTAAATGACAACTTGTATCAGTAGATAAAAAGAATGACTTTATTTTAATAGAATAGATATGAGGACGTGAGGTATTTGACTTCTAAGTAAACGTAGATGGTTTGGAGATGTTAACATTACGTAATATGATAATGTATGTTTACATAATTACATAGTTAACACTGCAAACTAATTAATAATAAACTTATAATTAATGAAATTTGGTGATTACTCAATTCCGAGGCCATGAAATGCGCCAGAGCAAACGTGGTTCTGTCGAGTCAAATTCATCTCATACTCACATGAAAAAATTCTTTTTCTTCACGTAATAGAAACTTATTACCGTATATGACAATACATATACATCATAAATACATAAAAAAAACTATCTGCAACAAAACAGCAATATTAGTTTTTGCCAAGTCATATTAGCTCTTCACTGGGACAATGTCATGATACTTTGATTATATTTTGTAAATTGATACTTTTATATAGTTTGGATCCCAAGTTCACAAGTATATTTGTAGTTCATCGCCTTAAATGGTTTCACATTGTAGTTAGTTTGGGAAATCATTTTGCACACAGATAAGCTGAACCATATATATACAAGTACAATGAGAAACTAGAGACTAATTGGATAAAAACCATTAATTTCCATTGTGACAATGCCATGATAAACTTAGCTACGTTGCACAACAAAGTCGATCTTTTCTTTATACTAGTTTCTTACAGAGAAAACAACAAATAAAGCTGCTAAAAAGGCAGCTTTAGAAAGAGTAGACAATGGGATACCATATTTTCCCTTCTCAAACAAACCTTTTAGAAATGGAAGGAACAACATTACCACCACAATACATCCACAAGCCTCTATCAAACTCGAACCACTTCCTTCATAGCTACGATCCAACCAATGTAGACCCGTTAAAAAACAAGCTATAGCCGTTAAATTTACCAACAGAATGAAGGTGCCGGGCAAGAAAAAAAGTGAACCATCGAATTCAAATTTATCTGAATCTTTGTTTGGACCATCCCCTGACTCTACTCTCGTCTTGGAAATAGTCTTTTTAGTGACTATGAAGACGGTATTGGAAATTCCAAGAAGCTTAAGAATGATATCAAGGATGCTAAATAACCAACTACCAGTGGTTTTTATTCTCCAAAACGATTGGGAGGCATACCATGAACTTACGGAAAACCCAAGGCTCATAAATTCCCATAGAGTATAGAGGCTGTGTATCCCCACAAGTGTAACGATTATACCTATACAAACTCCCTACAGCCACAAATAAATATATAAAGCCATTTAGTAACATCCTATAATTTAAGCAAATGGATAGACTATATTAGAGAAGCAAGAGATACACATAGAGAGAAAGAGTCACCTTGGGAAATAAGGTAGAATTGTGGAGTACGCAATAAGCAGGCAAGAGGCAATAAAAGAGCTCAGGAATTGACCTCAGAGCCCATGTAAACAAATAAAGATAAGCCAAGCTTTGTCGGAATCTTAATTTCTTGCAAAAACTTCCGATCAATGGATTTTGTTTGGTACAAAGAATTTCAAGGAAACCCGTCGCCCATCGCCGATTTTGAACCATTGCATCGGGTCCACCCAGCGGCATGCACCCAAGAAACGCCGGTGGTTCCGGAGATATATATGAGCTAGTCCAGCCTCTTGAATGGATTCCAACACTAGTGTGTGCATCTTCCGTCGTTGAATCGTATAACCAACCGACCTGGACGATTTTTATGTAACAAAAAAAATTACTAATTTCTTTTTTTTAGTATGAACGTATTATTATCGCATGCAATATTATTCTTTGATCTTATTTTTTTTTCTGTAATATTTTATTTTATAGATTAATTGCTTCATTTAAAGTTGAAGAATAGAGAAAAATAAATTTTACCAAAAACAAAAAGAAGAGATAAAAAGAAAGATTACGGTTTTGCCCCAGCTGGTTTGGTCCTCGTAGTGACAATGCCCCACTTCTTGAGCGGCTTCTATAGAGTTTGTGAGGGTGTCTTGGGGGTTTGATTTTCTTTGTAATGCATCAACCATCGATTTCACCATCTCTTTAGACTTCCCAAATTTTTTCTCTAAACTCTCCTCAGCCAAAAGCTTCCCTTAATTAATGACATAACAAAATGCACGAGATTGTATGTCACGAATGGTTTGATATATGAATATATAATGGAATGGTGGAATAACCGATCATTATATGGATTGTATGTCAAATGAATGATAGAACATGGATAAAATGTTTTGAATATCTATTAGAGTTCGATGAAAAAAAAAAAAATTAAGATATTCATGAAAGTTAGTTTTAATATGTATGAAATCTCTTAAATAATATTTTTTGCTTAAAATCTCTTACTGGTGTTTTGAAGAAATCTATAAGAACGTGATATATCAGAAAATTCTCATAAGTTTATTGTGCTTACTTTTTTTTCTGAACACTTCCTTTCATTTAATAAATACTTACTTGTAGCAAGTGAAGATAAATTTCCATCATCGTCTAAATCGTCTACAGAAAGACCATACATAACTCTTCTAGTGTGGAAACATCCCGAGCCTGCATACGTTGGTCCTTGGATTCCCGCAATTCCTCCTCCCACATACTACTTTCCAGTTAGAAAAAATGGAATTGATCATTATTACAAATAAGGGAAAAGAAACCTTACTGTTTGTAAGACGACGAGTTCACCGATGCTAGAATCATAGAAAATTTGAGGGAACTGAACAAAAGCACAATCGTTTTGTTTCATAGATCCTCCAAGAAATATACACATTGCTTGTCGCACCACATCTGCTTCATTCGCGTACATGTCGCAGTCTACGTTCAGCATGTACGGTGCATTTGTCATCAACCCTGACACTCTTGCCTGTTCAAATTCATCACTCTCCATCATCAGATTTTTTAATTGTTATAACCATGAAAAAGAAAGATCTACAATATGTGATAGTTGTTCAACATGGCGCTTACAATATATGATGTGTCTTAAAAGTCATGGATTACTTCAACAAAAAATATTCATGGGTGACTCATAGGCTATTCATAAGATATGTATCACATTACATACAAAGCCAAAGTTACCAGGATTGTTTAGTTTAACATTCATGCTTAACACATATATATGTCTACCTAAAAAATTTAATGCATGGTTACTCACCTTTTCAAATCAACAGTTAAAACTGAATGTTACATGCAACAAAATGTACAAATGGTCATATCACATGAAACATTGTAGTGTGTTATAATTTAAACAGTTGGGCCCTTTAATCAAGTAATATCAGCTGGGAAGCAGATGTCATTTTCTCCTTTACTATATTCCCTTCCTTCGAATGTACTTTTATGTCGTTCCTTGAAAATACTTGAAATATCTCCTTACATCTACGCTCATAGCTTCTTTTGTAATCATACTCTTTTATTTTATAAAATCCGACTAACTTATTACCCCCGTTGTATTAAAAGATCTACCAATGTACACTATTGCAGCCAAATTGATGAATGCTTTATTATAGTCTTTTTCTGTTTTTCTTTTCCCCACCATACTTATTATTACTTATTATAGTCAGACAATATCTACTTCCAACCAATATTAATTGTATGTCCTCACCGGACTAATGAACACAGTTTATGTAGTCTGATAACATTTTATATAAAATAGATGATGTGTGAGAAAATTAACCAACCAGAAAGTTCATGGCTCCAGCTTTGTAATGATGAAGGCAATTAGGTTTTTTCTCTCTTGAAATGTAGACAAAATGAGGGACCTCTTTCTCGTCTCCTACACCTTCCTCGTTCTCCCATATCACCTTTAAAAATCCAACCACAATTTTAAGTGATGTTTGTCAACTATACATTATATTAGAACGAACCTCCTAGATTCATTGGTCGAACCCAGTAAAAAGAAAACAGCAAAAGATATATCACCAAGTCTAGTCCAAGTTGACTTTAACTTTTTGCTATGTAAGTATATATTATTAGATATAAGATCTTTTGTAAACTTAAATAACTTGTAGAAATACCTTCACTATAGTTGAATGATCACTTGGCTTTGTGTTTGAGAAAGCTTCAAAATCATCGCCAGCATCCAACCAAGAAGAATTTCCGGTGGCGTCTTCCACTTTTTGCACTAACTCCTCGTACTCCCTCTTTATATTGTTACAACAACAAAGATATAATTTCAAGAAAGGTATCAAAAACATGAGAAGTTAAAGTAGACATAAAAAAAACATAGCATGGCTCTTTAGTTACCTTTGTCATTTCCCACTCTCTACTGAATTCTGAATCCTCTGTTGCGTTCAGAGGGTTCAAGAAATATCTAAAAGGAGCTCTAACTCTAACGTTGTATTTCTTGCAGAAAGGAACCCAAATCTTGGCGAACTTAGAAGTTTCCTTGAGAGAGAAGTAAGTGAGAGGTGAGCATCCATCGTCCGACACATAACAAGCTAGTTTATTTGCCGGATAGTTTACAGCTAACAGCGAAAGCACGGTGTTCAAAACAAGAACCGGCGGCTCGCGAACCGTATCCGCCGTGGTAACAAACATATCTACCGATGGAAGCTCATGAACCCTGAAATAAATAATTATTAGGTCATTTCATAAAACCTTTTCTGTGGAAATGTTTACTCTACAATCAAAAATAAAATTAGAGCATGGTAGGAGTTAACTACATGGCCTAGAACTATAAACAAATATAATAAGGTCATATGCTTGTAATATATATAGTTATGTGCATATATAAGTAAAATGGTACCTTTCATCAAGTCTATCAAGATATGGTTTATGTTCAGCAGGACTCCATTTTGTGGAAGTAACAAGCAGCCATACGAAAGTGAAACAACATTCACATAGGAAAGCCACGATCCAAGCGGTGTCGTTTTGGCTCATATGTCGAATCCGGTACAATAGAAGAGAAAAGAGAAGCCCGAGAATCGTGAGATCCACAGCTCTTAGAAAATATCTTTTGTATGAGATCCTTTCGCAAAGAGGAAGAAGTGAAGAGCTTGAATCTGCCATGTTAGGAGCCTTTTAATTTCTTGCGGTTTTTTGGATATGTTTTAAAAGGATTGAGTAAAATAGTGCGTTACGTCTACGAATGCTTGTATGGTATAGTGTGTTAGTGTTCTGCGTGTTATATATACTAGTTTACCTATGTACTTACGTACAATAGAAAAAAAAAAAAGAGTGGTGCATGAGAAGATCAGGTTAACTTGAGGGGACTTTTTTGTTTAAAAGTTAAATCTATTAACAAAAAATGGACAAGCGAAATTAGTCGTTATTACAAATTTACAAATCGAGGTTTAGTGAACCCTTTGTGTTGTGTGAGACATGTCATATCAACAACCAATTCACAGATAAAGCAGTATATATAACTATAGTTATGAACTTCTGAAAGATGTGTATATCTTTGTGGTGTTTTCTTCGTGTGGTCAGATTCAGAGTAGGATGACGATAAAGTTTTGTCTTTATGCTCCGTTTGATCTTGTGGTGACTGAATAATTGATGAGTGGTCGTCGCAGAAAGATAATGAAGTCACGCAATTATTCTTTATTATCGTTGTCACACAAAAGAAAAAATCAATTGAATCTTGAAAATTTATTAGTAAGAAAACGAAGTTTAACTACAAGTAATGGTTCCAACATGGCCTGTTTAGTGATGGAAAACATACGTGATGGACTCTCATTTTTCCTAATAGGTTAGCAACTTTGTCCTTCGACACATGTACTGCCGGATAACCTAGATTCAGTTAATTGGGAATAATATATTTCTTCATTTGTATTTTTTTTATTACCATATATTAAGGTTTTAATGATAAAACACCATAACTATTTTTGAACAGTAAAAAAACTCATCAATTAAATTTTTAATATTTTAATCCTGTAACTTATAAACATTAACGTTTCTCAGAGCACCTGTGTTACCCACCATTGGAGTCCTTAACAATATAATAATTAGTCTTTTGAATAGTTAAGAACTGTAATCAGAAATGTTCCTACAATGGTTCTATCAATTATGGAGTTCTTAGGAAAAAAATATATTAAATTTTAAAACATGTGAAATTAAAATTTTTATGAGAAAATGACTTAGAAAGTCTAAAAAGATTTTTGTCACAAATATAGCGTATAAAGAAAAAAAATAACCAAAATAGACTTATTAAAGAGTGTCAAAACACATTTATACTCTTTAGGTTAACTAATCTAAACTTAAGATTTAAAGTTATGTTTAGGTTTTATGGTTTAATTCTTTTTTTTAAAGTTAAAAATATCAACAATTAGGCATTGCCACGTCATCAAAAATCAAGTCCTTAAATGTGTTAGTTAAAGACTCAACCTTAACTTATACAAATTAAATATTGTTATTTAAATCTGATTTGCCAAAAAATACACGCTAAGTATTTGATTAAATCTCCTATTGCGGGTGGTCTCAGTCTCTGTTACAGAAATGGGAATATTTTGGTAGTGTGAAGATCTGGGACCATTGGTGTAAGATGGTGGGTGTGCCAAATTCAGGGCTGGTCCTGATTACCGAGTCAGTTTCATAAAATCAAGAAGCCAAGAACGTCCAAAAACAAAATCCAAGAGGTTGTCACTGTTATGTGGCAGAGAAAGATATAACCATGTATTTATATGGACTTCACCTTATAATTGGGAGAGAAAAAAAAAAAAAGACAAACTGATATAATCCAAGCAGAAGAGACAAGGCCGTAGGATTAGGTGATGCCCACCACTCACGAAATCCCCTAATGTACGGCTAGTATCAACATATTTATCGTCATGGATTTTATTTTGACCTAAAATACAAAAAATTAAATAACTTCATAATCAACTGGACCTAAAGGCCCATAAAATCATACTTGGCCCATATATTCATAGTACCCACTACGACGCCGTTTGGACTGACCCTGAAAAGTTCGTGTCAGGCCGCAAAACAAAAAGAGGAGAAATGTTAGCAACACTACTCTCATATTCATCTTCCAGATTCTTCTCTTCTTCACTCTGTAGATCTTCGATTCCTTCGTTTCATCGCTCATCTATCAGATCAATGGCCGATTCCGCTTTCAAAAAAATCCAAATCCAAAGAGACGACACTGTAAGCTTCTCCCTCTCCTCTCTCCATGAGTTTTTTTTTTGTCTGATCGTATCCGTACACATATATATAACTATGAGTGTATATTAGATGTCGGTTTACTATGGTTAATGTCCCGGTTATGCTTGTATAAACCCGGTATAGCAGAAATGTAACTCTGTTTTCACTAACGGAAATAACAGAAAGTCAGTTACGAATCACAACTTCATCATCTTCACTAACATGTTAATTAATAACCTTCTATGTTGTTCAGACATTTGATGCGTATGTTGTCGGAAAAGACAACGCACCTGGAATCGTCGTGATTCAAGAATGGTGGGGCGTTGACTTCGAAATCAAGAACCACGCTATCAAAATCTCACAGCTCGACACTGGTTTCAAAGCCCTAATACCCGAGTGAGTAAAGATTTAGCTTTTTTGCTCATTTTGTTTTTTTTTTAATGAATGTAAAATTTTATTCAAACAAAACAAGATTACAACAAGTGCAAACATTTTTGATTAAGACTACCAGGAAATCAAAATTCTACTAAAACCAAAACACTCAAATCACTCTCCTTCAAGCTTGACCATGAGAAACAAGTCAAGATTTTCCTCATTAAAACCTCATCAAAGAAAACCCAATTGGGACAAAACTCTAATGAGGAAAAAGAGTAAAAATCCCATAATCAGGATTTTTTTTTTTTGTTTTTTTGCCCTCTTTTTGAGTCTATTCTCACAACAGTTTTTTTTTTTAATCGTGTTAGTTTGTATCGAGGAAAGGTTGGTCTTGATACTGCGGAGGCGCAGCATCTAATGGACGGACTTGACTGGCAAGGTGCTGTTAAAGATATACGAGCTTCTGTTAATTGGCTTAAAGCTAATGGTTCCAAGAAGGTTGGTGTGACTGGGATGTGTATGGGAGGTGCATTAGCTATAGCTAGCTCTGTTTTGGTTCCTGAGGTTGATGCTGTTGTTGGATTCTATGGTACTCCTTCTTCGGAGCTTGCGGATCCGGCGCAGGCTAAGGCGCCTGTTCAGGCTCATTTTGGGGAGCTTGATAACTTTGTTGGTTTCTCTGATGTCACGGTAGGGTTTTGAGTTGCTTCTTGAGTTGTTTGAATGTAAGGTGAGGTTTTGTTTATGATGAGTGTGATGATTGTTTTGCAGGCAGCGAAGAGTCTTGAGGAGAAGCTGAAAGCGTCTGGAGTGGCTCATGAGGTTCATATTTACGAGGGGAATGGGCATGCGTTTTTGAATAGGAGTCCTGAAGGAGTGAGTAGGAGGAAGAGTATGGGGCTTTCTGATGAAGATGAGGCTGCTGTGGAGCTTGCTTGGTCTCGCTTCACTTCATGGATGAAACGTTACTTGGTTTAAGTTGTGTTTCATGGAAGTCCTGAAAACGTTTTGTGATGCCCCAGATCGATCTCAAATAAGGACATTGCTCGTAGGACTTTTATTGGTATGGAATAAAGTGGCTTGCTTGTGGTTCGAAGCTTTTTCATGTGTTTGAACTGAAACCGATGTGTTTGGTTTTTTGTATGACTGTGGAAACCATTAAGTGATATTGTCAAGGGCCTATCTTCGGCATAGTGAGATGAAATATTCGTCGGTCTCCAATATAGACCAGCCCAATGTATATATGGTAAACTGAATCACTGCTAAGTCTGTTGGACTTATATGTAACTATGGACTGAACTTGAACATTAACCAGTCGAATAAGCCATTGACTTTATAGGACAACATGTACTCATGTGTACTAATTTTAGCCACCTTATGATATTAACAAGATATGCGAAAATGATGGGATAACCGCTTCTCTTCCTTTATTTGATTTTAATATGAACATAATTAAAAATTGTACCAAAAAGATTGGAATTACTAGACGCTAATTGCACTGAAATTAAACTCTGCACGTGTTCCAGCATTGTATTTGTATTCTTCTTCTTTTTCTTTTTGTCGGCAAATGTATTTGTATAAATATGTAAAGCATAAATATAGTTTTATTTAGTTATGACTAATCAAGTGATTATACACGTAAGTCGATAAATGCATTCATATATTTAGTGTTTGTATACATTTCATCAAGAACTAAATAAAAAAAATCATCAACATATATAATACAAATCTTATTCAAAACAAAATATAATACAAATGTTTTAAGGACGGATAGTATGATACAAATTAAGGAAATCATGCCGTTTATAAGAAATGAGATTTTACGTACACGTATCATAGTATTCACGAACCCTTATATATAATAGTGTATAGTACAATAAACGAAAAAAGATTATTGTGCAATCATCTGTGATATATATATATATATATGGAATTATTAAAAAAATTCGTATAGGTTTTTGACAGTTGAAGAAATGTTAGCACTTAGCACTGGTAGTTTTATAATAATTCTTACCCAGTCATATATTTTTACGATATTCCATCATTTATTCAAAAATATTATACTGCAATTCTGAAGTTCTACCAATTAGAGAACCTAGATGTAAAAGGAAAATTACAGAACCTAAATATTGAATAAACTTTAAACTATACATCATTTCAGAAACTTTAGATAGTAAAAACGTTTAGCTAACAAACAATTTAGATCTTGTTCTGATTTAGTACTTGAGTGTAGTGTCGGTTAACGACTTCAAGCGCTAAACACTCCCGATCTTTTTTTTTTTGAGAAAAAGTTTAACACTCCCGATCTTCGTTCACATTTTCTCGCCGCATAAGAAATACTTCATTAATGTTTGCTCAATAATATTTTGTATCACCATGCCAGCAAATGGTTCAATAATATCAAATCAACCGACAAAATTGTGATATACAAAACTAGTATTTTTGTACATGTTTTAGCAGAAGCCCATAAAACGTGCATGAGCTAAAGGAACCCACGCGATTCATGTTCAACTGAGAAAAACAAAAAGTTTTTTTTTTAAATAGATATTGAATTTTTGTACTATTAGATCCATTGATCAAACACATATTACAACTAGGAAAACCATAAAATTAGTAAAGTTTCATCATGATGAACATGTAAACCGATAAAAGGGCTGTTGCCCTGGACCAATGAGCCAGCAATTTTTTATTTTATTGTTTACAAAGGTTTATTTCAAATGTTTATAAAGATTTATTTTAAATTGTTAAAGTATTAAAAAGTTGGTAAAGTTAAAATAAATGTACCATAGTTAACTAAAACTAACTCAAATACAACAAGATAAAACCCAAAGAAATTTGTATATTTCACCATTTTCTAATTTTTCCAATAAAAAATTCTATAAAATTATATTGGTTCTATTTAAGGTAACGTAACAAAGAAAAACTAAGAAAATATTTATAAAAATATTCATATTCAATGTTAAGTTTCTCCCAAATCTATTAAATTATTAAGATAAATCTGAGAGGGTGGACACTAAATCCATGAAAAAGGTAGAAACTCTCTTATGAAAAGAGATGTTAATAAGTTTCCCAAAAAAGAAAGAAAAGAAAGAAAAGAGATGTTGATACTCAGTAGAATCAAGGAAATCAACTTTGGTCGTCGTACAAATCTAGACAGAACCACGAGGTCCATGGCCATCAAGTTTTAATTTGGGAATCCGGTCGTAAGTGCGTGGGATGATTATGCTGATAGAGATTTCTAGTATACTAATTAACTTATAACATTGTAAAACAGAATTTCAAGATTTTTTTTTTGTTCTTGTAGAGACTAAATAAAGTACCATATTTACTTCTTTATTAAATCACGTTGAAAATATCAAACAATATCAACATAGATTGGACAAAGAAAAATCTACATTGACACCTAAAGAGAGTACATGTATATCTTGGGATAATATTGATTTTTCTAATCATTGGAGATGAATGTTTTGGCCTGTCATTGGCTGGATGTCTTATTCTGCGGATAAGAAATAAACAAAAATGTTTTATGAATTAAGTATTATCACGGGTTTTGAGTACCATCGATGACTAGTGTGTAATGTAAGCAAATCGTTTGCACATAATCAAGCATTATTTTTCACCATACAAGTTAACGAGTTACATAAATGTTTTAAACATCATCTGATTGAATAAATTGAATATATGAACCATATGCAATAGATTCACTATCCCAAAATTCTAATCCGAAAAGCAAATAAAATCTTTCTTTGTTCTATTAAAGAGAAGGGAATAAAGTTCCTAATGTCATACTCTTGATATCTAGAATTTATATATTTTGAAGCAACGAAAGAGGTCGATATTGCTTTTCTCACGCATTATAATCTTGTCTTTAATTTTTGTTGATGAACTTATTTGAGTTATTTCTGTGGTTGACACAATTTTAAAATAAAACCTTGCTTGATGGATGAATCATAATACTAGCTTAGAGAACTAATCAAAATTTAAATGGATTAAAAAATATATTACATGTTTTAAAATAAGTCTCTTAAAACCCATAGTCTGGATGAATGGTTAAATCAACCGAAGTCGTAGGCATAAGTGCTTCCTTTTATTTTTCTGAAATATTTTGTTCGTTTAATGGTTTTTTTTTCCTTTACACCTTTTTGGTATAGCTTTCTAGTGAGATGTTTACTATTAAAATTGAGTAGGTTGTTGCTTGAAGCAGGCATTTTTGCCCTTTTACATTCCTCCTTGTTCTCATGCCATGTGTTAACATACACGCAATAATTAGTTTTACAAATTTCTGTATTCTTATGATTTGTATATATATGGTAGGAATGTACTGAAAAAGTTTACCAAACAACACACAAATTGTACGTGTTATTTGAAAAATAAAAATATAAGCGCGAGGTTACGATATACCATTTGAATAATTAACCTGTAAAATAGTTCTGAAAATTATAGCATATGCGTAACAATATATCCAAGTTAAATTACGCCCAGTTGATCAACTCCCAGCTAGAAAATAGATTGTTTGAATTGAAATCTTAGTTACTCACGAAAAACGTTATGATGAGAGCCAATTATAGATGTTTAAAACATTTATGTAAAACACTATAATATCTAAGATCGATATCTTGACATATCTTGGCCAAAATGCGTTTACTATTAGATAAATTATGTTATAATGAAGATAATCTTCATTTAAAACGATGAAGTTTTGACATCCAACTCTGCTTAAGCGTACCATTTTTTCACGCAAAATTTATAAAATCTATATATTTCTAAAAATCGATAAGTAAATTGGAAATGAAATAGCTATTTGGTGCATATAACGAAAGAAAGGTGAGGAAAGAAAAAAAAGTCATCATTAGTCTAACTAGTCGTAGTGCTTTATGTGAACTTAACTTTAATTTGAATGTAAGTTGCAAGTTAGAACCATAAAACAGACCTAATCATATTTGAAAGTGATTATTTATTTCTTAAATCTCAACCGATAATGGTAGTTAAACCAACCGCTCACTTTCGTTTATTTTCTTTCCAAGGGTTAAACGATTTATCAACGAAGCTTCTTAATCTATTTTATTGCTATTTGGTGTTCTTGTCAGAACATTTGTTTAACGAACGTCTATTATCTATGTGATAACAAGTTGACTAAATTAGAGAACAAATATCTCGTTAAATATTATAGTCTTGGCATCCGGTTCCGGTGCAACAAATTATATCCCAAATCCTTGAAGTGATTTTGGTAGGAATATAAAGTTATATATTACACAACTAGCAAAAAAAAAAAAAGTCACCGATCGTCAGAATCTTTTCTACAAAATTCAGGTCTTCCATGCATGATAATGTATGTACTCTGTATAGGCATGAAGACTTTTTTCTTTTGGTTCTTCATTAAGACATATTTAAACTTTGATATTTTATTTACAGCTTGCTAAATAAAAAAATAAAAAAATAAAAATAACAACAAATATCATAAATGAATAAAAAAACAAAAACAACACATTTCATAAACGAACAAAAAACAAGACAATAGACAAAATAAAGGATATACGTAATAGACACAGATTTAAAACGCTGTCAGACATATTCTGTAAAATAATAAAATACCGAACAAATCTGGCAAAAAAAAATCTGAAGAAACTATAAATGCATAAAATACATATAGACGATTACAAAGTGTAACAACAAAGCTCCAAGTGTGCAGATGATCGATCAAAATCTACCAAAGTGCCCAACTTCTCATCTCCACTAATTTTATTTTTCCTATACCAACCAAACTCATTAGAAACAACAAAACCGAAATAAAAATAATTATTAGTATCTTACAACAACGAAAGACTCTCAAATAAACAACATTACGCCAATTGTACACACCACGTAGCATCTAAAAGTTTCAGACACGTAGCTCCAGAGATATACGGAACCACGGTCGGAGCAAGAACTAAAAGTTATCTGACCACAGAGATATCGACACGTCATTGTTTCTAGAGAATGTAATCTGAAGAGTACAGACTCGCCAAAACCAAAGAAGTGGCACGTCACAAGACTCAACGAACTTACGTTAGATACGTTCTATTGCCACGTCACATGCCAATTGATATTTCACTCACGTTCTCAAAACACCTCTTTTTTGTACTCTTGATACTTCCCTTTTTTTTTTTTTTGGTTTCTTTAGAAATTAATAAATAATTACTATCAAATCGAAACGGGGTTTCATTTGGTTATCAACTTTTACAAAAAGAAATTCACGTGTACACACAAGAACATATTTACGTGTTATTATATTCATAAGCTCGTTGAAAAACTCGATGTTACCAAAAGTATACACCATCTAATCCACACCT